CGCCTGGGCTGGGACTGGTTGTGCCGGCGCAGGGTAGCAGGAAGCTCTCCACACACTCACCGGACCTGGGCTAGGACTCGGTCTCTACCTTATAGTTTTATTTTTTTATTTTATTTTTTTTCCTTATAGTTTTATAAAAGTGATTATTTCTGGTAACCAAAAGGCAGTAACAGTTGACTACTACCGTGCCTAAAGTAACAGTGTATACTACAAAAGAATAGTCTAAAGTGATGTGACTGCTGAATCCCCACAGAAAGAAAAAAGATTACAATTATTTATTAGCTCACAAGTCTTCCTGCATAAGACTAAAAGCTTCTTAAGGGAATACCATATTTTACTTTCTTCTGAAATCCCATCACTAAGATCTGGCATCTTAAAATATAGTAGAGCAATAAAACCCAATGCATTTTTGGATTACTACTTTAAATTAAAAATTCCTGATTTACCATTAAAGATGAAATTTCTACCAAGGAGATACCTCAGTGGTATAGCACCTGTCTGGCCAGCACAAGGTCATGAGTTTGATCCCTGGTACAAAAATGAATGAAAAAATACATAAAATTTCTAAAGATGATAATCAGTAATTAAATAAACTTACTTCTGCAGCACCTCTTCTTGACCACAAACTTTCAGGACATAGCTCCCAACATCTACTTGATTCAAGTCATCGTGAACCCAGCAAAGGGCTTGCATTATAATGATTTCTACTGTGGAACTCACTGAAAAAGAGTCATTTTCATTTTGCTCATGTACTGCTAAGTATATATTTATTCAAGACTATATTACTCATAATCTAGACAGCGCTGCACAACAGATAATGTACAACTTAGAATTATAGGCAACATATGTAATGTAAAAATTTCTAGTATCCATAGTGAAACGCAAAAGAGAACTAATTTTAATAATATTTTTATTTAACCCAATCTAGTAAAAAATCATTTAAATATATTATCTATATTTAAGAATAAAGAAACACTTTACTTTTGATACAAAGATTTTGAATTCTACTGTGTATTTTGCATTTACAGCACATCATAATGTAAATTAACATTTCCAGTGCTTGGTGTAGCTAGTATCTACATTCAAAACACACTTAAACTAAGAACGCTACTTCCTTGTTAGAATCCTTCAGGATGATGTTTACATGTATCTAGCAAACAATTTTAAAAACACATTACAGTGAAAAAGAATCACCAATTGCAATACTTGACATTTACTTGATAAATTTTCCAATGAAGTATAAAAGCTAAATAACAAGATTATAATACATTAAAAACCAAGCCCTTAAACTGACCTACTGTATATTTAGAGTACCTATGTTTACCTTTAAAAGCCTCTTAACATAATAACCTCTATCATAACAACTATATTTGTGAATAAACAAACATATACGGTTTATAATTTGAAAGTACAATTCACTTATATATATTTATTAATAGATATGTATATCATAATGTGCATATTTATAACTGACAAATGTTTAAAATATTTTTGAGGTCATCTTTTGATGTAAGTCAAAATTTGGTATAAAGCAAACATTTGCTAACAATCCTTACTTATCCTCATTTTAAAATAAGAATTTTATAAACATTATTTAAAATTGCTTATAGACTTTAAAAAAAAAATTTAGTACTAATTCTTACAGTATATCTGGAGTGAAATCTCTTCCCAGGCCAAAATATGAGGTATGTTTGAAAGACTAACTTTTCCTTCATAAAGTAAAAGAATGACTACTATGTAGTTGACTAACATTCTTCTGTTTAAGATACATTTTTTTTCAAAGAACCTTCCAAAATTCACAAGAAGAAAGTAAGTATACAAACACTGGACAAAATTCTAAGTCATAACCATTTGAAAAGGAACTAATTTTGAGGCCAAAAGAAACACTTATTCTACATTAGAATCCTATTAAATTTATGTATGTTGTAAATAAACAAAGAAAAATCAAAGCTTTAAAAAAATAAAATTAGCTTTTAAAACTCTAACAAAAATTTCCAACAAACTTTGCAAGGCACAACTCTAAAAGGAATACTCACGCCAGGTTTGAAAGAGAAAATTAAAACCAAAAGGATTATTTTGCCTTTGAGATTAGCAAGAAATCTAGAATTTAAATTGCACAAATAGCTCTTTATAAATAGGCATTTTTCTTATGATAAAACGAGAGAAAAACAAAGAATTAGACTACAATTAGCTTTTCTGTCCAAAGATTTGGGCCTCGGCCAAGAACCACTGATTATTAAGTTCCACTCAGCATTCTTCACTTTAGCATTTGTGTAAAAGTAATTTTTTTTTCCCATCAGTTCTAAAACAAAACAAAAAAACCACTAGGCATATAAATGGCAAGTTTTTGAAGATGCCTAATGATAACAAAGTGGGCTTACTGAAAAATGATAATATTGATAATTTAAATACTTTCCTCCTAATCAAAGCAAAATAAAACACTTGGGGAACTACAAACCTACCATCACATGTGAAAGTAACAGGAAGTTGAAATCCTTCAATTTCAATGGAGACCTTCACACTAGCATTTTCTCCACATATATTTCTTTGCATTGTGACTGGACTTAACAAATAGCCGGGATTTGTGCAATGATTGGAGTATGGAAATTTGGTCTTCAATCTGTTCACAAGAAGAAGATATTAAATTCTTTAAAAAAAAAAAAAAAAAAAAGCTGCACTTGAGAGCCCTAAACAAGGCTGTACATGTTTATAGCCATTCAATTCTCTGTCTTTGTCCAGTTTTAAGCAGCCTGTGAGAATGGTAATGAATGAACCACTGTCAAAACTCCAAATACCAGCATTTGCCTTTTAAATAGAAAGAACCCAAAGAGACAGAAGAGATTAACTACTGCCAGGATATCTTTGGCAACACTATCAACGTTACCCAGGCACATACCGGACAAACTGTGCCTCTGCCACACAGTACAATTACACAAACTGCTGTTTTAAATGAATTACTGATAATATAGGCAACATAGTTCTAAAGTGTAATGGCAAGAGAGAAAGTTTGCTGTCTTCCTAAAAGCTGTTTGTTTGCTTGAGACAGGGTCTCCTTGTGTAGTGCAGACTGGCCTTGAATTTGCTATGTTGCTTAGGCTGGCCTCAAACTCACAGTAATCCTCCTGTCTTAACCTCCCCAGTATTGGGATTGCAGGGGTCTGCCACCACTCCTGGGGTTTTCTCTTATTGCTAAAATCTTTTTTTTTTTTTTTTAAAGAGTTTTTCTGTTTTGTTTTTCTACAAACATTACTTGTGGTTGCTACATAAGAAAAAAAAAAAAAAGGACAATGGGTTTTTACAGTACTACAAAGCCTTTATTCCTGCAGAATGGCATGAAAAGGTACAACAGCAAAGCAGTCTATACTTCAATCCATGGGCATGATGTATATATAGCTCATCTGTCACAGCTGTTATCAAGTCAGAGGAGGATATGATGCTGGGAATATTGTTTTATTAGTTCTTGTACTGATTGAAAGTGTGGTCCCCTCACTTATTGTGGAGCTTACATTCAAGCCACCCCTGCAATAAGTGAAAATCAGCAAAATAGTGACACTGTATTTATTTTAGTATTTGTATATATTTTAAGGTTTTATAAACCCTTCCCACACTCTTATAAACCCTTCCCACACTTTTAAAAACACTTCTAATGTTCCTAACCATTTTCCAAACTTGTAAATCTATGTAATTTTAACAGTGTATGTATACTGTATGGTACAATATGTATTCCTCTGCTAAAGAAAACCATACTGTAAACTATTTTATTTCAATTTAATATTTTTGTTAGAATTCACATTTTAAATATAATTTTATATACTTAAATTTCTTAAGGCAAAAATCATTAAAACCATAAATACTACACAAATAAATACGTATACAATACTGTACGCTACCACAGAATCCCACGACATAGCAAAAAGTCCACGATAAATAATTTAGATTAATATTGTTTGAAAACCCGCCAAACAATAAGTCCACAAAAGTCAAACTGTGAAATAGCAAGGAATGGGGCTAGGGAGACGGCTCAGTAGAATAAATGCTTGCCAGGCAAGAGCAAGGGCCTGAGTTCAATCCCTGGTTCTGCAAAAAAAAAAACAAAAAACAAAAACAAAAACAGAATTTTCACTTTGTTTTTTGGGGAAAATTCTTCACTTTCCCTTACTTAAACTTGAGTTTGTTCCTTTATACAACAATGCAAAACATACCTAATGTCATCTATCTACTTAAAAACAGCTAAACTCATAAATTTCATGCATCATCCCTCCCCCAAGCAAAGTGTTTTGTTTTATTGTTTTGGGGTTTTGTTTTGTTTCTTGGAGACAGAGTCATGCTACTTTGTAGTCTAGGCTGGCCTCAAACTCACTCCTCCTGCTTCACCCTCCTGGGTGCTTGTTTTGTTTTAAGAAAATTTTTTTTAAAAATGAAACCTTGCTATATCCATTAGATACTATCAGGGCCAGGGAGATGGCTCAGTAGAAAGGGCTGGGGAGATGGCTCAGTAGAATAAGTGCTTACCTGGCAAGCTCACGGGCCTGAGTTCAATCCCCGGTTCCACAAAAATTAAAAACAAAACAAAACAAAACATTTGATACTATGAAACCTATCAGTTCCAGAAAATCAAGTAATTCGTTATTTTTCTGCAAAACTGATAATTTCTATTTTTATGGTTTACTTTATATAAATTACAACCAACAAAACCTAAGATATAAAAGATTCTTTAAAATTGGGGTTTTCTTTAGAATTAAAAAAATAATTAAATTATTAATAATTGCTAAGTAATTTATTCATTGTAAATAATGGACCAGATAAAGTGTGTGTGTGTGTGTGTGTTTGTATGTGTGTACGTTATTGAGGAATGGACCTAGAGCCTTGCAAATGCTAGGCAAATGCTCTACCGGTGAGTTAC